TGCAATAAATAGAAAGAAAGAAAAATAGAAAGAAAAGAAAATAGAAAGAAGAAAAAATAGAAAGAAGAGAAAATAGAAAGTACAAAAATAGAAAGAAAGAAATAGAAAGAAAAAACTTTCTAAATAAATCCTTCCACAATCCTAGGAATATATACAATTCTATTTTCAGATCTGGACCAATAACCCCACGTTTTCCAACAAGATGTCTGAAATTAACTCCTCCAGGGGCCTTGATTTGTTGTCTTTTTTTCTTTTGATTTTTGCAAGCACTATTTGCTCACTAGAGCTATTGTTCTAAAAAATTCTAGCATTCCTCTCTCCCTATACACACCAAAATACTGCTGTAGGCATCAACCCCCCACACAACCTTTCCTTTTTTTTTCGTCAAACTTTGCATCTGCTAAGCAACCAAAAACTCCAAAATTGATTGTGGGAAGAACCCATTCCAACCATAAGTGTCTAATACTGTGGTCCGAATTTCAGATGTTGAAGCACAATGAAAAAACTGGTGATTAGCAGTTTCCAAGTCACTACTCATGTGGACAAAGACCACAACCCACATTGCCCAGAGTCATGCCTTTTCTACTCAAAGTGTCTCTAGTCAAACACTTTCCAAGAGTTGCAGTCCACACCAAAAACATAACCTTAGAAGGAGCAGCAGTCTGCCAAATCCTGCTATCAGGGAAGATACTACTAGCACAAAATTCAACCTTTTATAAAAAGGTCTGAACAGGAAACTTGCCTCTATTATGCCACCATCTTCTACAATCCAGATGCCCCACCCAAGGTCTATGATCCTGAAGCAATTGAAACATGTCCAATGCTTTATCCACCTCCCAATCCTGCAGGTTCCATTTTAGAATTGGATTCCATGTCACCGCTCCATTTAGAACTTGATGATAGTCCTTGACTATGGCCCCTCTATTCTGAGCTTCCATGAACAGGGAAGGAAACACCTCTATCAAAAGGAGCTCCCTGTACCACCTATCCATCCAGAACTTCACCCTTCTTCCCTCCACCACATCATAGAAGACACCTTGAGAGAATTGAGGAAATTTTTTTCAATACCTTTCTAGACAGATGTACCATAAATTTGCACATTATTACCTGCTTGCCAGCCCATCTGCCTAGACCCAAACTTGTCTGCTATCATCACCCTTCTCCACAAGCTGTCCATCTCCTTACCGAATCTCCAAGACTCCAATACCCTTTACATAGAAGAGCAACTTTCAGATCTTTGAGCTTCCAATTTCTCCTTAAAGAGTGGTTTAAGGAGGGAAAAAACCTTCCATTATAAGAACACAAGTCGCATCTCTTTATAAGTGGGACACCGAGTAAGTCTAAGTAGACCTTTCTGAACTAACATAAACTACCTCTTTTAGGGCCTGGTGCCCATTTAAATGTCTATTAATATCTAATGAGTTCGATTGGGACCCAACTTCCTTCTAAATTAATATAGGGCTTGCAGCCCACTTAAATGGACTGGCCCACAAAATATTTCACCCCACCTGTAGGATTGGGCCTACAAGAATGGTCTAAAACAAAGAGTTTTGTAAGTTGTGATAGGTAACACCTGAATGAGGCCTAAAAGAATGCCTGAATAAGGCCTAAAAGAAAGGTCTAAAACAAAGAGTTTTGTAAGTTGTGATAGGTAATACCTGAATGAGGCCTAAAAGAATACCTGAATGGTCTAAAACAAACTTTGAGACTTAAACAATGCCTGGAGGTGCACCTCTTCCGTGCAAGGTGATAAAGAGCATACACATTGTATGGGGCTTATGCCTTCTCAGCACTTTATATCAGGTGGAGGTACACCACCTGATACATGTTAACATGATGAAATTGGAGTACATATCAAAATGTCAAATCCCTCCCCATTTTGCAAAGTGCAAAACCCATTTTAGGGTTCTCGTTCCCATATAGAAAGTAGAGAAAGGAGACTTTAGAGGAGGTTTGTGCTTCAGCAGATGTCAAAGTTTGAGATTTGATTCATGACTCTACATATACATGACCATAAGTTTTTAACACATTGAGTGTCTCTTTTTCTCTGTTTTTCATTGATATATAAGAAAACAGGGGATTCCACCCCTTTTCTCTTTGTTTATTTGATTGCTGCCAATGTTCATATTTTGTTAAATATGAGATTAGACACTGTATATGTTAACGTTATGCAATTTATGAGAACTATGAAATTGTTGTAAGTGATTTATGAATTTCTTAGTAGTAAGTGACACACTACTGGTTGATAAAGCCATACCTTGCTTGCTTTCTATAATCTGTTATTAGTTTATTACTATGGATGATGATACTTAGTTATATTTTTGTTATTAGAAATTGCAAATACGAAAATTTTTCCTATTTTTGGGTTATTTACTATTTTCTATTTAATTTTTTATTCTACTTTTTAATAAGTTAAAAGCACATTCTTTGAAGGCTTATGCTTCACTCCTTAGGATACTGTAACATATCATATCATGCCTCTGCATTTTAGAACACTGAAGGAAATGACCCTAAGTTGAATGGTGACCATACAGCTACTGACATGAATACCAAAAAAAAAAAATACAGCTACTGGCATCATCCATATGGCCTATCGTGTCACTAAACCTCTGGGAAGAGTATCAAAGTATCAGCTCTAGTAGATAACAAGGATTGCTAATAGACCAAGTGTAAGTACATAGAATTAGTCATCATGCCCCTTGCAACGTGTAATGGGCACAATAGTACCCAAGGACAATAAAATCACTACCCTGCAACCTCAGTCTCTGACCACCCCACTCCGCGATAATGCCACAACCTTGTGACCTCACTCAGCCACATCGCTTCCTAATGATCACGCTCTCTGGTTCGAATCACAACCTCATGGCCATAGCCCACAAGATTAACTCTGTGGTCTTGCCCTGTGGTTGTCCTCGAACTTGCAGCCATGCATCGCAACCTTGTATTCAAGCCATCCTCATGTTACCCATAAGGACTTGAAGACTGTAGTAGTGCACATCCTCACATGTACACAAGTATTGAAATGACTATTGACACGTGGTAAGACCTTAATTAGTCCAAGTGGTGCAAATTGGTTAATTGCATAGTGAACCCAAAAGGAACTTTCCAGAAAGGGAAACCCTACTTAGAAACATATAGTTAGAGGTCTCCCGAAGATATCAGGATCTTCTTGGAGCCCTTCCCATTTTGGTAAAATTTTGGTTCATCCCTCAACCTTTAGAGACCCTCTTCCAGCCCGATCTTGATCCTCCCCTCTCTCTCCAGAATTCCAAGACCGGCAAACTACAGTGGCTTGATCTCTCATTGGAGGGTATGTAGGCTGGGGGTCTGACCAATTCCTTTTCCCCTCTCCTCCTCTCCTTGGTTCAGGTTGTCTTTATCTTTAGACCTTTGGAACTTGACCACCTCAATGCCGAATCCCTTAGATCTACATTGAGAATCTCTGGTTGTCTCTCTAATCTCCAGGAGGAAATGGCACCATCAAGGTCATCGTAATTGCAGGTGGCAACAGATTCTTGATTTACTTTGTTGCAGAGCTTTGATTCTTGATCCTGCCACAGCTTAATCTTGGTGATGACACTGCCATTATCAACCTTTGAGAGCTTCATGGTTCCAGATCTAGATCCATTCAATCCTGGCTCTCATGGTTCTTGTTCCTACATCCATCACCCCCTTTTCTCAGACAACTGTGACATCAAGTGAGTTTTCGATTTCATCCCGGATATCTCAGATAGGCAGGCACAACATCACACAATCAGAACACAATGTTTTGATCCATCAAAAGTAATGCAGGAGATCAGGTCTGAACTTTCTCAACCAATGGAGTCTCAGAAATCTTTCGACACACATGTTTGGCCTATTATTAGCCCCAGTAGTATGAATGCCCAATTTCACTTACAACTTTCGGATCTCAGTTCAGAATAGCTCATCCTTGGAGTTGTTGAGGAGCCCACCGTGATGCCTGCTGCCCCAGCCTCAGCCCTATCTTGGCCCTAGTATGTGGACCAAACTCCAGCCTGCTTTCCAGTTTCAGATCCAACAAACTCGCAGCAACTTTCCCAAAGTGGGAAAGTTTCCCTCTTTTCCCTGGGGAGATCTGTATAAATAAGGGGTCTCCGGGGATCCCCACTCACAATCTACCGTCCTTCAGGTAGATATCCCCAGTGCCCCTCACTTTAGACCTACACCAAGTCATTTGAGCCCACTGTGATGCCCGCTGCTCCAGCCTCAGCCCTATCTTGGCCCTAGTATGTGGACCAAACCCCAGCCTGCTTTCCAGTTTCAGATCCAACAAACTCGTGGCAACTTTCCCAAAGTGGAAAAGTTTCCCTCTTTTCCCTGGGAGATCTGTATAAATAGGAGATTTCCGAGGATCCCCACACACAATCTACTGTCCCTCAGGTAGATATCCCCAGTGCCCCTCACTTTAGACCTACACCAAGTCATTTGATGGAATTGAACACTTGGGCCAGCTTCTTTAGTTTATATGCATGTATTGTCAAAATTACTAGAGTTCGCTTAGCAACTTGCATTATTCTCAACATATACTTATTAAGGTATAATCTGTTTGATGAGGAACACCAGTTGTCAATAAATGTTTCTCATCAGTTACTGCTCTAAAACATTTTTTATTGATTTCATTTCTATAAGCAATCCCAATATGTTATTTCTGTGATAACTATTGAATAAAGTGAATGTTTAACATATTGGTGGTTGCAGGTATTTGTAACTTTATTGGCTCTTTCAATAGATGGCTCTCTTATGGCTACTGCTGAAGTTAAGCTTCCTGAAGAGGGAATAGGTGGTCTTGTTTGCCTTAAATTTTGGGCATCTGGGTCCCAGGGTGGAGAGTTCACGTTGTCTACTGTTATTTATGAACCTCACAGGTTTACTTCTGGAGCCACTTGGTTATCATGATCTCTATTGCTTTATGGGTTTTTTTTTTTATTCTGAAATACCTTGTATTGTAGCTGAATTCATATAAAATGGTTCTTATTTCATGTTCTATTCTTGAAGTTTCATTTTGAAATTCTCCCAGTTTTATTTTGATATCCATGCAAACCCTTAGAATATCTGGCTAAGATAGCACAAAAAGACCTTTTATTAACATGAAGATGGACTCCATATCTTGTCACCACTCAAGGTGTTTTTACTTCGTTGAACTTTTTGTATTTTTGGCAGCTGATATGTACTTATTAGATTCACTGCAGTTGCTATGTTTTTTCTATTTCTCATCCGTATGCTATTGATGGATCAAGCATTTACTGTACCAATCAAGAAATATACGCATGAGATCTTGATCCTGCAGTATGGAACTCCTAAAGTTCTACTGGGGGCTACTCAACCTAAGTGGATATGATATTGGCTGTATACTTGCTTAACTGGTAAAATGTCAACACTTATCATAAGAGACTCCTGGCTGCAATAGTCCTTTCATATTTTTAGATTACCAGGTATTCCAACTGAAGAAATGTTGCTGGTGTAAAGCAAACATTTAAGTGGTGATAAATACGTTATGACCACAAAACTCTATCATCTGTTGTACCTAATCCGGATACTGATGTGTTACATCTTGAAGAGTATGATCCTTCAAAGTGGATGTTTGTAAGGAATGTTAGGGAATACCTGTACTTTTGTTGATCTGAACAAAGCAGATATCATGAGTAATTTATGGATTTTCCTTGCTTTTCTCAAAATTATTTTATTATATTCAACTCCCTTTCTGATGATTGATTTTTTTGCCTACCTTCTCATATGGTATATCTGGTTTTTGATCTGTGAATTACTAGTGATGCCGCAATTTCTGCTATTGCATTCCATCCTACTCAGCGTATGGCTGTGAGCTCTTCTTATGGTGGTGACTTCAAGGTAACTTAATTCATTTGGATCTTAAGTTCAGAATATGCTGTTTCCATTAAATTTTTAGATTTAACTACTTTGTTTAAATTTTCAGATTTGGATTCGCAATAATGATCAGCAAAGCAACCAAATGCTTCAGAAATCCGGGTGGAGATGCCATTCTGTTGGTACATACAAGTACGTTACTTGCATTGGTTTGTGGTTTTATTGAGATCAAGGGTTAAAATATCGATACAATACTCCTAATATGGGGTGTACTGTATTTGTATCCATGGCCATGGATAGGGGATACACCATGATATGGTATATATCCCACAAGCTGTGCATATCAACATGATACACTACTGTATCGAGCCCTGGTTTGACGTATCTGTATCTTGACAATTATAATTTTTGGATTGTTTTTAACTTTAACAAAAATTGAAGACTATAATTTTTAAACTAAAAGAGAAATCTAATTATAAAGATTGAAGTAAATTTAAGATTTAATTTTCCCCAAAAAATTAATAAAAACTGAAAATTGTAAAAATAATTTAATTTATCTACCTTATATGATTTATATGTTTTGTTTTATAATAATATGTAAATTAAAACAATTATATGTTAATTGTCAAAATTAAAAAACATATTATTTGAAAAATATTTATTATTAATATAATAGTACTAAATAAATATTCCCATTAATGACACTGAAATAGAGTGATAATTATTGTTTGATGCTTATATGCTCTAGAGTCTCAGTATTGAAGTGTGCATTTCTTATGTGTTTGTACCTTATTCATTGATAATTCAGCTTTAGATTTAGTGTTATTAATGTATTTATGTAATTTTTATGCATTTCCCTAGTGTATCCAACTGTTTTCATATCTTTCATCGGTATCCATGCGTTTCCAAAGTGTATCCATATCTTATTGTCCAATATGATACTTGATACCGATACTTTGATCCTTGAGTGATATGGATGTCTTCCATATTGTTGTTTCCTGTTTTCTGTGTGGCTGGTGTTTCTGGTACAAATTTCTGTCACAAAATGCAGAAGCCTGTTTGACACTTGTAGTCTTTAATTTTAAAATTTGGGAACTGTCTGTTGAAAGTGGACTGATTTCAAGGCTAGCAAAAGGGAGCTTCCAAAATCAGGAAACAAGTTGCCATCTCTGTGGGGCCCCCTTTTGTATTTATTTGGCTTACCTATTACTGATGTGATATGTGGGTTTCACTCTTGGAAATTAAAAAAGACAAACTATTAAGAGTGGGTTTCCAATGTTTTCTGGTTGTGAAAATAGTGAAACTGCATTAATTACCTCTGACCTGTTTTCATGAGAAGACTAGCTCAAAGAAACTAGCTCCAAAACACACTCAATAATCTATGGTAAGTCACTTTGTTAGGCCAGTTACACATATGAACACCTAATAAATTTTTTTTTGGGGGGGGGACCACCAATTCAAGGAGGGATACAAGGCTGATATGGACTGGAGGATTGCATGCCTGAAAAATGCAAAAGGTCCCCCATGTGGTGGATGGTTTGGATCTGCTAAATCATCTGTCCATGTGGCAAACATAGGTATTTCATTCAAAAAAGGTCCCTAAGTGAAGGAATTATGTGGCAGATGATCCCCCAATTGATACAAGCTATGTAGCCCTTCATTCTGCTATATGAAAGGATCCTATGTCAAATCTAGACTGTCCATTATATAGGGGATTCACTGGATTGGCAATGTTTTCAATTCTACCGTTTATACCAAGCTTATGTTGTAGTTTTGCATAACATTTATGTTTTTTTATTTATCAACTCTATACCAAGAACATAGTTTTATTTATGTTTTTTTTAGTTGTAAAAATTGTACCTGCGTCTGAATTATAAACTATTTATAAAAATGCATTTATGCTCGTCTAACATGATTTCTTTTCATTACATCCCTCAATATTGTCTGATAAAGCATACCTTTTTCTTGCAGGAAAAAACCCATAACAGCTGCTACGTTTTCTCCTGATGGCTCAATTCTGGCTGTTGCAGCAGAAACTGTTGTTACTTTGTGGGACCCAGACAAAAATGTCCTTGTTGCAGTAGTTGGGGAAACCCTTATGGTAATTCTTCAAATATATTTTACTAAATCTCTGTGCTACATGCCACCTTTGGACTTCCTCTAGAAAAAAAAAAGAAAACAAAAAAAAATGAAAAGCTTTCTGGGAAAGCTATAGGAGATTGCGGTAAAATTTTCCATACATGAGGTCTGATGAAACCTAAAATATGATCCTCTAAGTCCATGGGCTATAAATGTAGATATGCAATTTTTTAGTTTTGGGGGGGGGGGGGTTCATAGCAGTTATGTTGACTTTCACAGAATTACCATTATACTGCAAACTCCAAAGTAGTTCAGGAGATTGCAGGTAAAACATATCATGCATGAGGTCGAAAACCAAGTGTAGAGATGAAGCGTTTTAGTGATATTTTGTAGATATGTTAAGAATTGTATGGACAATTAAATTTGAATGCATTCTAAACATGCTTTTCACGAAAGATAAAATATTCCCTTTATGAGCAAAATTCCCCAAATTTTGGAATTTAGGGTTTTAGATTAAGTTTTGGGATGAATTCTGGTATGATTGTGGATAGGGGTGCAAATGAATTGGGCTGTGGCAAACTTCAACATGTCTATGTCTTGGCTCAGCTCAACTAAAATATTCCTATATTTGAATTCAAGTTTGCTTTGACTAAATATTTGATGAGTGTGAGCTCATCTTGAAAGCTCAAAAAAATAATATCCGAACCAAACATTTTCTTGGTCAAATTCGTGTTCAAATAACTAATCAATCTTACCTGAGGTTCGAACTGCATAAGCATCAAATTTGAATTGAGCCTATTCAATTGCACCCTTAGTTGTGGCTGTGGTCTATGAACTTCCGAAAGGTAATGAGGATTAGCTTGAGTTGGTCAGTGAAAGGTGGAAATAGTCGAGGGTCCCCTGTCCTGGAGGCCAAGAGTACCTTATATAGTTTCCTTCTCTCTCCCCAAATAGAGGATTCTTACTGAATTTTCTGTTTGTTGGGAAGTTAAGCCATGTCAGTGCAAGTTGGCAAGTTACTATTACCAGTCAATGCCCAGCTTTAAGCCACTTTTTCTGCTCTCCTGCTGCTCTCATGATCCATTACTTGACCCTTGTTTGCCATTTCATGATCTGAGTTACTTTTGGTTTAGACCGGGTTGCATATCTACCTCTATTACACCCTTGATTAAAAATTTGTGGGTTGTTGATGGTCGTAATGGTGCTGCATTCATCATGTTCATAACATTTTGAAAACTCACCCTAATATCATTCAAATCAATGTTTTAAAACGCAGAGGCGTGACGCGAGACGTTCCACTACCTAGAGGCGTGAGGCGTAGTTCAGAATGCAAGAGGCGTAAGCCTCCAAAACACAAGGAGGCGTAAGCCTCCTTAAGAGGAGGGGGGTTAGGAGCAGGATGAAGAGGAAGGGGGGATCTCACTTTTTCTATATTTTTAATATAAATCTTTTACATTAAGAAGAATAAAGATGCATAACATTAGTTGAAAGGGGGTTAGGAGGAGGATGAAGAGGAAGGGGGATCTCATTTTTTCTTTATTTTTAATAAAAATCTTTTATATTAAGAAGAATAAAGGTGCATAATATTAGTTGAAAGGGGGGGTTAGGAGGAGGATGAAGAGGGATGGGGGATCTCATTTTTTCTTTATTTTTAATAAAAATCTTTTATATTAAGAAGAATAAAGATGCATAACATTAGTTGAAAGTGGTTAGGGAGCAAACCACTTTCTTTCCCCTTATCTTTTCTTCCCTTCCCATTTCTTTTCTTTCCTTTTTTCTTTTTTTCTTCCCTTTCTTTTTCTTTCCCTTCCCTTTCTTTTCCTTTCCTTCCCTTCCCTTTCCTTTTTTTTTTTCTTTTTTCTTTTTTTCCTTTTATATCAGATGTGCATGAGGTGTACACCTCTAGCACGCCTCTTGAAAAAAGTGCAAGAGGCGTATGCCTCAGAGGTGTTAGCGCCTCTAGCGTACACTTCAGGGCGTTTTGGGAGCGCCTCGCCTGGAGGCGTGCCTCCAGGTGTATGCCTCCCACGCCTTTTAAAACACTGATATGTCCATAGCTATTTTTTACGCAATACCCATATATAAACATTATAGGGGTGTCTAATCAAACTAGAATTAAAAAAATATGTAATTACATAATTGGCATTATCATGTAGAATATTTATAATTTTTTCTTGGAAGGTTATTTGATTTATACCTAGTCCACTGTTCCAGATATTTGGCAGAACCAGCATTATGGTGGTAACCATATTTCCTCATTTTCTGTTTATTACAGCAGGTACTAATATGTTCCTTTTTGCTTTTCAGCCCATTGTTACCCTTTCTTTTGTTGGGAGGTCAGAATATCTTGTCTCGGTATCTCAAGGTTTGAAGCCACAATTATCCGTTTGGAGCATGTCAAAGCTATCCATATCTTGGTCATATAAGCTTCATGCAGAAGGTTTGTAGATTCAACCTTTCTTTTTTCTAGATCATGAAAATTATTTGATATGGAGAATGGTAGTCAGCTTCTATCCATATACTTGGTATGTGCACTGTCTGACCAGTGAGATCAATAACTTGAACGCTGACTTTGGACTGCTGTGTACTGATGAGAGCTTACTGACAGAAAAGATTAAGTAGAAGTTGGGTTGCCCTTCAGATCTACTATCTTATCTATCTGATTTGATTTTCTGTTGATTGGATGATTAGTGCCTTAAGAATTGATTAGAAAAAATGTGGTCAGGTTGCATGTAGAAAGTATGACAAAATTCTAGGTTATTTTGCAGAGATAATTTGGTTTCAACTGAAACATAAAGCATTAAAACCATTTCACAAACAATACATCCATGATTGCATGGTTGTTTCTATAACCTGCAATGTAGGGATATTTCAGCATGCTTGTATTGTCCATATCCACATGATATGATGCCGGAACTGTTTACTGGTTTTGCATTAGGAACACAAATACACAATATAATTTTCTTGCATCCTTTTCTATGTATATTTTTCTTTTTCTTTCTTTCGTTAATAAGGAATTGTTTAAATAAGGCACAGGAAACATCTGATTTCAGATAGGTTGAAAGAGTGCATTCAGGTTGGATTTGGGTAAAATGCAGCCAAATCTGAACCAGTTTGATTGTTTAAATCTTAAATCCCAATCTGATCAGATCTAGAGGTTTCTGATTGAGTTCAGATCTAACATGGGTCCACTTCATTATTTTTAAAAGAAAGAAAAATTAATAGTTAAAAATATTAATTACTTTTAACTTACACATATAATTTTGTTATCGATCAAAAGAACTTGTACATTTAAAACAAATGTTATATAAATATAAAATACTGAATTTATCAATTATGAACTATATATATCAGTGTTTAGGAAACCAAATTGGACTGGCTGGTGAGAGTGATCTGTTTGCATCCCTACCAGAGTTGTTCTCTGTGCCTGAGAACACAATGACCCCTTTACCTTATTCTACTCCCAACCACCTTCAGGGTTACTCCCTTGTCTATTTCTCTTGACCCCATCACATCCTCACTTTCCTCTCCATCTGAAACCTCCGCTATGTTATTTATCCAAAAAAACCTCCACTATGTTCTCCTCCTCCCTGACTGCCTTTGTTGCAGCCTTTTCCTTCCTCAATACTTTGTCACTATAAATCCCTCCTCTATCTTCCATCAGTGCTTTGCTTTTCTTTATCCTTGAAAAAAAAATTGAGGAATGAGAAATCCAAATTCTACAATTAGGGGAAGAAGGATCAAGGAAGGCCCCCTCCAAGGACCTAATGATAGAAATCATCAGAGGTCTCAAAATTCCAAAGGCCTCTTGTAAGTCCTAAGTTCCATGATATATAAACTTTCTTCAAAGTACAAAGAGAATGGGAGACATCCAGTATCTTTGAGTGAAGATAAGAAATAAAGAGATGGGAATTTGTCCTTAAGAGGCAAATCCCCCACCATAAATCATTCCAAATTTTAATACCATTAATAGATCTCATCTCATATCTTACAAAGTTCCGAAGAAAAGGCAAGAGTCTTCTTTTATTTAAGCATTAAAAACTATTTTAATTGCTCTGCATTGTTCCCTCAGTGTTGGTCTTTTCCTTAACAATGTACAACATCTGTTAGCTTATTTATTTTACCACTGACATTTGGCTTTAACTTGAATTCCCCCCTTTTATCTTTTAAATTTTCTTTGGGTTGTTACCATCAAGATTGCACTTCTACTTTTATGATCACAGCAGTGTGCAACTTTAACTTATGGATTCTTTGCTATTATGCATCTGACTAAATTTTATATCTTGCAGCTGTAGCCTGCATGATAGATGCATCCATTTTTGCTGTTCTTGTCCTTTCCAACTCATCTGAAAAGGTGACATGCGAAGAGAGCTCAGTCCCAGGAAGTAATGGGTTAATCTTACTTTTCAACGTGGAAGACCCAGTTCCTTTAGTGACTTGGTCTGTCAAGAAGGTATCATTTGTTTACTTTTCAATTGCAATTTGATTTTTGGGCATTTAATTAATTGGTTCCATAGAGTGAAATGGCTACCTTTGTGAACTTGCTGATGATGATTTGATTGCTTAAAGCTGTCCAACCACTCGACTGTTGGCATTCTTCCAATAATCGGATGGTCTATACATAAAGTATGGCGGGTGGTATTTAAAATTTCAAATTAGTTTAGCAGCTTGGTCAAAAGCCTTTCCTATAGCTGTCTAAACCTGGTATTGAAGCATAATATTCATGATTTAATATGACAAACACTCTCAATTTGAAAGTTTACTAGCGGTATTGTGCATGATTCAGCAACTAGACTTTTCTAATTTCAAGTGGTGAGCAGCCCAACAGGATGTCTGTTGTAGAGAGGGAATGAAATCCTATTTTCCACCTGCTGAGCTCAAGGGAATGAAACCCACTCAAAAAGTAAAAAACAAAAAAAATATATGTATTGAAAAATCCTAAAATTTGAAGGGTCCTTTATCTTTTAAATCTATTTTATGTTGATATTGTCTGAAACAAATATTATTTAGCAGACGACCCATTGATCAAATTGACAGTTCAGACTTTAGGGAAATTTTTATTTTGAAAACCAGCAGTTTAACCACCCGGGCCAACTTAGAGCATTGGTAAAAAAAAAGAGAATTTTAAGGCAGTGATTTAAAAGGTGTGCCTAGGTGCATAGGCGAGGTGCATTTTGGGGTATACGCCTTGCCCAGGTCCTAGGTGCACCCCTTTCAAAAGGCGCACCAGGCGTGCGCCTCAGCCCAGGTGTGCACCTTTTTAAAATTTTGCGCTTTTGGTTTTTTTTTGTCTAATGGCTGTGTGGTACAAAGGCGACTCATAGAATCAAGAATGCAATATGTTTTACATCACATTAGCTACTTGAAGCAATGCAATTAAGGAAAAAAGAGATTGTGGGTTTTACATGCTTGAAAATGCTTTATATGTTTGCTTTTATTTTTAAATTTTCATTTGGATGCGCTTTACATGTTATGTTTTAATTTTAGATAATAGATTTTTTTAAAAAATTATTTTAAAATTTAAGTTTATATTTTTTTATTAACATTATGTTTAATATTTTTTGAATTTTTTGCATTTTTTTATTTTATGGCATTTTTTTTTAATTTTCTGACTTGTTTTTTTAGCTTTTTTTTGTAACTTTGCACCTTGCTTAAAAAGGTGTGTGCCTCGCCTTGTGCCTCAGGCACAAGTTGGCCCTTGCACTTTTTTTGCACCTTACACAAAAGATTTGAGTTTGCTGGATTTAAGTTTTTTTTTTTTTTTTTTCTGAATCATATTAAAGTTGGTGGTTTATGGAGAACAAGTGGAAAAAAAGGAATTCAAGAGGGGATTGATCCTTCATTCTTTCCATGGCCATACAAGAGGGGAAGACAGATGTGGAGATGTACTAGAGTGGCAATACTATGGACAGTTTGGGAAGAAAGGAATTCAAGATTATTCTGGACAAGGAAAGAAATAAGGAAGACCTGATTGAAACAATAATGGTCAGGGTGGCTTATTGGCTCAGATCTTTCGAGTCCTTTTCTAGTGTAACTAGGGATGATGTTCTGAGACCTGCCTCTACACACTTTTGGTCTCCACCAGAAACAGGTTTCATCAAACTTAATTTTGATGGTAGTAGCATGGGAAACCCAGGACCATCAGGAATTGGAGGTGTATTTAGGGATGCTGAGGGGGAATAATAGCTCTATTTTCAGGCCCGGTGGGAGAGGGAGATTCTCTCAGAGCAGAGGTTTTGGCAACGTTGGAAGGGGGTCAAAGGCCAAGATCCTTGAATATAAGGAAATTAATAGTGGAAGGGGATTCCCAACTAGTTGTAAATTGGCTGCACAGCGCTGAGATGAAGATGTGGGTTTAAAATAATGAAAAGAAAAAATTCAGATGGCTAACAAGGGATATGGAAGTTTCTGTCAGCTGGTGCAAGCATAGCGCCAACTCCTTTGCTGATTCTCTAGCAAAACAAGGGGTGGGATGACAAATTCTGTTCTGGGCACAATTGTAAAGGAAGGGTGTATCTAAGGGGAGAGATAAGTTGTTTTTATCTCTCTCTATCTTCTCTTTGGTTTTACTCACTGTACTACATTATTTTTCTAATCTTATGAAATATTTATTTATCTTTTTGATAAATACTAATCTTATGAAATATTACAGTTATTGATAAAAAAAGTGGAAAAGAGAATTGTAATGACAGCAGATTGTTCTAGGGAAATAAAGTAAGAATGAAGAGAAATTTTAAATTAGTATAAATAAAGCCAAGGGAAGGTGGGATGGAAATGGGCCCTACCTTGATTAAGTTTACAGACATTATGCTGGTATTACTTTACTCTATTTGCCTGTCATCCTCAAAGCTAGGATCCAAAACATTCGTCTTCATATCAATTACCATTCAAAAAAGAATGAAATTGGAGGAGAAAAGCATCACTATTTTATTTACCTCACTTTTTTGTTTTCCTCATTTTTCAGGCACAGGGTGGGGCACTTGCCTTTCTTAAGGTGGAGTTGTCTCTACTTAATGAAGAAGTTACTGATGAAAAATCATCCCAGGCAATACTTGCATATGTGAATAGTGATCACGAATATGTCATCTTTGATCCATACAACAGGAAAGATCATAAGATCACGACGAATCATCGGGGGAATCTCATTCCTCTCGAAGAAGCAGGTGAGTCTTTTTTTTCTGTTTTTTCTTTTAGTTTTCTGACTACTGCAACAGACTCTGAACTTGTTTGGGAAGCCTACTTTACATTCTGAGTTTCTGCTTCATTTTTCACAATCATATGCATTAAGTTTATACCAAAAACCTTGTTACCTGTTCATTTATATTATGATTAAAGATAAAACTGGGTTACTTCCCACATAGAGCATGGTAGGCTAGGGCAGTGCTAGTCAATTGATCTGATCTGGTTAATCTACTTGTAAGATATCATGGAATTCTTGTTACAAGCAAGAATATGAATCTGGTTGGAGGAAATAAGAAGAGAAAAAAAAAAGAGTAGTGTTATGACTTGAAATCCTTAGTTTATTCAAAATTTCACCTTATGGGTCTTCTTTTTTATCAATAACAACAAATTTCATTAAATAGGAATAAGCTTACAAAAAAGGGGAGCTAAAGTATCTTAACTCCCTAGAGAATGGTTAAGCCCCAAGCTGAAAAGAACAAAACAATTACAACTGAGCCCAGAACCCAGAAATCCTTTTCACTCCTTGCCTAGCCAATCCATCAGCAAAGGAGTTTGCACTTCTCTTTACCCAATTACACTGAACTTCCATATTCTTGGTCAACCATTTGATTTTTCTCTTCTCATTATTGTTACTCCAAAGATTAGAATTGTCTTCTTTTAGCCAGTTCACTACCACCACAGAATCTCCCTCTACGATCAGCTTCTTGACCTTTAGGTCTTTAGGCCTTTGTACCCCTTCCAAAGCTGCTAACACCTCAGCCCTCAAAGAGTCCCCCACTTCAATTGGGCTAGAGAACATAGCTGTTATATTACCATTCTCATCTCTTAACCCCCCCTCAATACCCGAGGACCCTGGATTCCCCATGCTGCTACCATCAAAATTTAATTTGATAAAACCAGGAGGTGGAGGATTCCATGTAGTATTTAGGGTCTTCTTAGCCGAGACTGAACTTGCAATTTCTTTCCATTTTATTAACATGTCATTTGTTGAAAATCTGTGAACTCATCCATTGTTTTCAACCAGTGTATTACCCTTGTATGGATCACTTCTAGCATATTTTCCAACCCTATCTCCTTTTCTAAGAAAATCCTTGAATTCCTTTCTTCCCATATTGTCCAGCAGACAGCAACTCTCACACACCTCCACATGATCCTTGATCTTTTAGTTGGGCAGTTGACAGAGGATGAGGTAAACAAGCTTTGCACATTCGTTGGGGAGATCCACCTGCACCCAAACAAGGAAGTAAACCATTCCCAAATATTTTTTGCCAAAACACAGGATATTTAGTAAGTGGTAACCAGACTGACCAGCAACTCTACAAAGAATACGCCAGTGTGGAGATAAACAACTATTGGGTCTTTTTCTTTGAAGTAAGTCACCTGTGTTAATTCTTTCTAGAAAAGCTTCCCAATAGAAACTCCCAACCCTCAGAGGTATAGGTTGACACCACACATCCTTGACAGGGAATGACAAGCCAATAGGACTTTTCGGTTGTAATAGGGCTTTAAAGGAGGCACAAGTAAAGGATCCAGAAGGAGACAAAGTCCAAATCCTACTATCTGTTTTTGTCGGCTCCAAAAAAGCCCCATCAAGAATGGATAGGAGAGTTGAGGTACAATCCAGTTCTGTGTCCCTAAGGGCTCTTCTCAAACCCAAGTTCCACCCAAACCCAGAATTTGAATTTGAGGGAACAAAGAATGTGGCAACTGGTTCATTTTTAAAGGTGGAGATTGCGAAAAGGGCCGGAAATTGGTCTTTCAAAAGATGATCCCCAACCCACACATGTTCCCAAAACTTAATTAAGTTACTCGAATGCAAATCATACCTGATCCAAGGAGAAAATAAAGGCAGAATAGCATGGATTGATTTCCAAGGTAATGCTTTTGTTGCCATAGCCAGAATCCCAGAGTCCCATCCATTCTCTGCAAGCCTGTGAATACTGCCAATTATCTTAGCCCACAATTTTTCCTTTTCCAATGAGAATCTCCATAGCCATTTCCCTAGTAAAGCCAACTTGTTAGCCACCCCTGCAGGCACCTTAAAGACTAAAAGGTAATAAACGGGTAGGTTAGCTAAAGTAGACCTAATTAGGGCGATTCTTCCTCCTAGAGATAAATAATTTTTCTTCCAAGATGCAAGTCTCTTTTCAAACATCTCCACAATCGGAGTCCAAAAACTTCCTTTTTGAGGATCATCTCCAAGGGGAAGACCGAGGTAAATTAGAGGCCAATTCGACACTTCACATTCCAAAATGTTTGCACATGCAAGGATCTCACTTTCCCCCATATTCACACCTACAATACAAATTTTATCAAAGTTTACTTTCAGGTTTAACATGTTGACAACCATATAGGAAGGTGGTTAATATTATGTAGAAGCTACACTAACATGGAAAAATGATCAAAAAGTCTAATACCTGTTTCCAAGTGTTAGAGTATTGACCCGAGAGGGGTGTTAAGTGAACTCATATACTTTGGAACATCTCATGTATAACTTATGTTTGTCTTCTATCAGGACGTTCTGGGTACACATCTATCTATGGGGAACTCCAGGAATTTGATATCAACGGAGATTCAACTCCACAGATCACGTTTGTACCATCTGAAAGACCTTGGGAAACTATATTCAGTGGATCATCACATGTTCTTCCTCCCTTAACCAAATTGTGTTCGGTTTTCTTGGAATCCTTGCTAGAAAAAAGATCAGCTGTTCAAGACTGAAAAATAGCTCTTCATGCATGTTGAGAAATATATTCTTCATCATGCCATCGTATGCCAAGTAGCAACATTCCCTGTGTTGGAAAAAGTGAGGCTTCACTGGAGAACAAGGACTCGATACATCTCAGCTTTGAGGTTGAGATTGTGTTTTTAAATTTCAATCTAATGTGAGATAGTAACAATACAGAGGCTTGGGAATTCAAGACAGTGTGTGGAGAAAGAGAGGCGATCAATAAGTCGTCAGAGAGAATATGGGCAGTCGGCTCTCAATTTTGTAGTTCTTTTAGGTGAATATAGTTTTTTTGATAGGATTGTAATTTATGGATCTTCCCATATTTTATTATTTTCTTTGCGACTTTTTTTGTTGTGTTTAACCCAATTTAATTAATGTAAATTTATTTTTTTATTTAACTGTTACCATTTATTCAAATGTCATTATTCTGTCCATGAACTCGAAGGCTGAAAATTTTATTTGGTATGCTTGTTTATTTGGCTAACACCTTTCCTAGGTCCTTGCATGGACCAGCAAAGGAAGTCAATGATCAGAAGGAAAAAAAAAATTGTAAAACAAACGAAAAATGCAAAATACACACTTAAAATTGAGAATAGAGCTTTTGTGATGTGTATTGATAATGGTTTTAGAAGTCCTACTTGCAGCATCAAAAACAAGATTCAAAGTATCGGAAACAGAATATTGGAAAAGTGGCTTTTATGTATTCAAGGATTTAAATATTGATATACCCGATATGCCGTATCAGGCAATACCGGTATTTTTTTTACATTTTTTTAATTTTTTTTTTTAAATCTGGTTCAGGTGGGCCGGTTTAAGGTTCCTCTATCCCCTAAATCAGTCAAAACCCTGATACACTCTGTAGGGATATATTGGAGTGCTCCTAATATGATACGTATCAGTCGAAAGGGACCAATATGTAATATGTAACGATACTATGAACTTTGGTTCATGTATTGGCTATGCATGAACCACCTATGACCGTATAAGGGACATGTGCCTAGTTAACCAAAAAAAATACAAAATACTCGCTGAGAATGCTTGAAATTGAAAATATAGCTTTTGTTAATTGTATCAATAAAATAGAAGTTTTAGTTGCAGTTTCTGAAGCGAAGGTGACTTGATATGAATAAATTGCAAAAATACATCAATATGAATAAAATGAGATCGCTCCAAATGGCTATAAATAATGCCAATACAGATATAAAATGTGAAGTTGTTGAGTTTATTTATGTTAGTATATAGGATGTTGGATGTAAAAGCAAACCAACTTTGCATTTTCATGGATCGTATGCATTTGCATTTGCACTTTTATCAAACGCTGGATGGAAGGATGTTGAATGGAAGGCAAAGTAAATGGTTTGATGATGCTACAGTTGATGTGATACTAAATATTGGGAGTCTCTGGCAATGTTCAAAATGTCGATAGCTTTTATTTATTTATTTATTATTTTTTTTTTTCAAATCTGTTTCAGAGGGGCCAAACCCACCCCCTTATCCAGTTGAGACCCGAAACACCCCTTGTAGGGGGGTTTCGATATGTATGGGCCGTATTGGTCAATACAAAATTTTGTTCAGTCCAGTATTTTACATTTAGGTACATTAGGAGAGGTTCTAATAAAGCATATAGAAATCTCCAAACTCAATAGTAAATGGTGTGGTAGGTTCCAAAACCAATATATATCATATTGTACTTTGCCATATTTTGAAGTGATAATTTGATTTGGACTGAAAACTCCACATTGGCAAATACATCTTTGTACGAGGTTATAAAATTCAAAGCCAAGCAGATCCATCTAGCTGGATTTGCCTTTCTGGGAATATGGTGAATTGATTTCTGGAAGATTAGAGGCATTCCACTATGAGTGCACAAGGTTCAAAATTTCGATACGTATCAGGCAGTATCGGCTGATACGTATCGTATCGGGGACTTCCTGATATGTCCATACAGGGGATGTTTCAGGGGTCCCTCTGAATTAGATTTGAAAAAACTTTAAAAAAAGTTATCTCCAATATGCCGGTACCGGTGTATCGATATTTTGATCCTTGGGATTGGGAGTGCATTGTGAACATTTTAATGCACACACCAGTGCACCATATAAATATGGAACTTAATTACTTTTTTTTTTTTTTTTGGTTGCAAATATGAAGCTTTGATCAAAATTGCTAAGGGAAAGAGGGACATGGAATTATTTTGGCTCGATAACCAGTGCATCCCAATGTGCTGGCAGGGAGTTGAAACCATCCCAATGGAATATTTTTGAAAGGGGGAAAAAGGGGATTGGAGAGCATTCTGTGTGACTGATAAGAAAATAAGGGCCCGTTAGGTAACAGGAATAGGTTGGGTGGAATCAGCATTCAATTTTCATTTATGATAGAATGACATTCCACCATTTTTGGGTATTAGGCCACGTCACTCTTTCCACTTTGTATGGACTCTCGTATTTGGGTCTCGTTAGAATTTCAGTTTCAACTTAGATGTTTATCTCTCTATTCTTATCATTATCTTCTAATCGTAATCTCTTAGTTGTAATACTTTCAAACTATAATATATATATATATATATATATATATATATATAAAAAGAGATCCCAACACTCGGTTAATGGTGTGGAGGAAATCCCACAATCTGGTTTGTGATTTTATATGGTATCAGAAGCCATGACAGTCTCTCATATGCTACAATGTCAACTAGCAGCAACTTGTCTTCAATCTCACTAAGTATGCAGCCTCAACTCCCTGGAATTACAAATTTGAATCTGGGGCTCTAGTCACTCTCAAGCTAGCTAGATAAAAGCAACTATCTTGTGTGGCATTCTCAAGTTTTCCACTCTCTCAAAGGAAGCAGGTTACTTGGGTTTGTTAATGGGGAAAACCCGTGCCCACAAAAGTACACAACAACAACAACAACCTCTTAAGATTCATTAGAAGCATATCATGAGCTCAATCCTAGTTACATTGCTTGGGAACAACAGGATGCCCTTCTCTTCAATTGGTTACTATCCACAGTAACCGAATGTACATCCACAGTAGTTGGATGTACATCTTCAGCAACTCTCTGGAAGACATTGGAGCGTCTTTTTGACTATGCATGATTATCTCAACAAAGCCAAAAGTTTAGCTAATAGCCTTGATGTTATAGGCTCACCTATTTCTGATCATGATTTATGGCTATGCTTAAGAATTCTTTTGGGCTTGGGCCCAGATTATGCACCCATTCAGATGAGTTTGACCAACCCAATCAAGGATATCAGAACACTAGGGGCACACCCTACAAGGATAATTATCACCAACCCAAATAGGATGGCTCTCAGAAGCGATAAGGTGAATACAGATCTTCACCTCAGCACAATAATAGCACTAATTAACACTCATATGGGCCTTGCCAAATTTGCAAATGCAAGAATCACACTACGGTTGATTGCTACTATTGTTATGACAAGAAAACAGACGACTCTAAAGCAGCATACATGGCCGACTCCTCTCCTGCTTCTGGATATGACAACTTGTGGTACCCAAATTCTGGAGCCACGAATCATCTAACTGCACATCTTAATAATCTGAAACTCCACGCTAAGCAAGTTAAAATTGGTAATGGGGCAGGTTTGTCAATTCTTCATACAGGACATTCTGTATTATCTTCCATTTCACGTCCACTTATTCTTAAGAATTTTTTACATGTTCCCACTTATGGTTTTCAAAACCGGACCAGATCAGACGGTCGGACCGGAAAAACCAGGACCGGTTCCGTTTTCCTCCAAAACCGCTTTCGACCACTTTCCAATTTTAAATTTTTTTTTTGTCAGAACGGGCCAGCCATTTGGGTTGAACGGTTAGATTATTTGAACCGGTAACCGAACCCTGACCAATTCGATCACCGATTCGTTTTTAAAAACCATGTTCCCACCATTACCAAGAATTTGCTATGCTAACTCATTCTTTATTAAGGATCGACAAACGGGGAAGACATTGCTTCAAGGGCTAGGACCACTAGTGTTGATGTTCCATTGTCTACTGTTTTTGCTGATGTTTGGGGTCCAACCTCGCTTGTTTCTATAAATGCTTATAAATATTATGTAGCATTTGTTGACGAGTATAGTAAATTCACCTGGATTTATCCATTATTTACCAAATCATCTCTGTTGAATGCCTTTATTTTGTTTATATCCATGGCTGAAAAAATTGTTGGATCATTCAATTAAGGCTATCGAGACCAATGGTGGTGGTGAATTTGTGGCCCTTGAAGAATTTTTAAAGCTCCGTGACAATTATACATCGTACCTCCTGCCCACACACTTCTGAACAAAATGGAACAGTGGAGCGTCGTCATTGTTGTATAGTGGATATGGGCCTTACACTTCTGACCCATGCTTCTATGCCCAAGAAATACTAGTAAGATGTTTTCGAGACAGCTGTCTTTCTCTACAATCGTTTACCTGCTCCTAATTTGCGCTACAAATCACCGTGGGAACTACTATTTCATTGCAAACCAAAATTTCTCTCTCTTAAAGTATTTGGTTGTGCATGCTATCCTCGCTTAAAACCATTACAATGCACACAAATTTGACTTCAGATCTGTGCCTTGCATCTTTATGGGCTACAACCCATGACATCATGGTACAAATGTTTTCACTTGGCTACTGGGCGCACATTCATCTCTAGACATGTAGTTTTTGATGAATTGACATTTCCTTTTGCTCATTAGTCAATTGGGCCTGTTCAGACAGCCACATCTACTACCACCTCTGCTCCACTTGGGCTTTCGCCATTGTTGCAATCGCTACCACCACCACCTGAACCAAGTATGCCTACTTCAGATCATTTACCAGCCTCCACCACTTGTTGCAATGCCTTACATCCTATACCTGAGAAACCATCTGATGCATCCTCACCTAATATCTCACCCACATCTACAGCTCCCTCCTCACCTTTACCCGTTCAACACATTCAACCCACAACCACTAACACCCACCCCATGATCACATGTGTCAAAAATGGCATTTTCAAACCTAAGCAACTTTTTTTCAGCTACCAAGTATCCCCTTCCTGAACTTATATCTGAACCTACTAGCACTTCCAAAGCACTTGCCCATCCTCAATGGCGATTTGCAATGGAGGAATATAGAGCCTTCCTACACAATGGGACGTGGAATCTTGTTCCCCCTCAGCCTAACACCAATATAGTGGGTTGTAGGTGGGTATTTCGTTTAAAACGCCACCTCGATGGCAGTATAGCCCACTATAAAGCCAGGTTTGTGGCACAAGGTTTCATTAAACAGGCTGGTATTGATTATACTGAGACTTTCAGTCCTGTTATTCAGCCCGTTACAATTAGAGTTATTCTCTCCATTGCACTTGCTCATGGTTGGCCCATTCAACAATTGGATATTCAAAATGCATTCTTGCATGACGATTTGACTGAAACAATTTACACGAGACAG